AGTTGAAGTTATGGAATCTCATCTTCCCTGAGAACTTCTTTAATTTTATATTTAAAAAAAGTAAACAAAAGACAATTCCTTTCTTCCAAATCCTTAACAAGTCATGCTTAAATATTCCTTTATACTCCCAATCAACAAGCAATTATATAAATTTCTTTTTTTTTTGTTCAATATTATTCAATTTTTTTTAAAGCACTAGCTAAGAGTGACTTGCGTGAACAAATTATCTATTAGATAATACTTAAAAAGTTTAATATAATATTTATGTTTCGATATTAAAACTAACAAAATCTTTTATTTGCAAGTATATAAATGCTTCCATATTCCTTATAAACATTCTATACAGACTCTTTGTAATTTGGTTTTATATTCTTCAACTCTTTCAACCCTCACAAATCACAATACTCTTGTCCCTTTTTTCTTTATAAAAGTATAAATCTTTAAATTTTTTTATCAAATCAAATTATAATTTTTTATATATTTTAAAATAATAAGTATTTGTTGAAACTTAATAATAAATTTTTATGTTATACAAATAACTAAAATTAATAAAGTGCACATTAATCAAATTTCGTACAACATATAATATTTGTCCCGCCTTCAAAATTTATTCATCAACATAGAATTTATTATTTCTAAGTTCTAACATTATTGTAGAGTTAAAACTCTATAGATAAGATAATTTACTGTAAATTTTAACTATTTTTTATTTAATTAATGAATTTATTTACTAAAGGTATTAAATTCATATTGATATTTGGTAAACGTTAGCAATATTTACAATTAAAATTAAAATTTAAAAATGTAATAAACAAAATATTTAAAAGGTATGAAATAAATTTATTTATACCATATATATAGATTGATCGAATGACACATTCATGCTTGTGTGTATATTTTTTACGTGTTACATGCTAGCCGTTGAACCTAAAATCTCTATCTATGACTTGAGAATGTTCTCATCCAAGAAATTAAAAAAAAATGTCCTCAAGTATTCAAAAATGCTCCCCCAATCAATCTAGTATTATCATAACATATAGATCTGAAAATTTATAACTAGACTTAACAAATGAAGTCATCACCAATATTTTTTACCTATGTATAATTGGTCACCTAATGAATCTACCCTTTTAAGGAGCTCTTCAGTTTGACTAAGGGTCTCTAAAAGAATAAGTTTAGATCTACAAACTAGAACATGGTTCGAAAATTCAGTTACATATGAGAAATGTTATAGCACCACTACATATCCATCCGAAAGATGATAATATTTTATTTTAAATTTATCATGAGGTCTTGATTCTAATGATTTTAAATTTTATATTCAAATATTGAAAATAATTTTTAAGACTCTCTATCAATCTGATAGAATTTTTAAAAATACTTTCTCACCTAAAGAGTATTCAAGAATCCCATTTGTTTTCTTGAAGAGGCTCTGTCGTCTAAAAAAAGATTTAATTATTTTTTATTTTTTATTTTATTGAAAATATATCTAATTATTCCACCATTTGAGCTAAATTAGAAATATTTTCATTTTTATCTAGAAATTTCTTAGATAATCAACCATTTGTGATTACTAAGAATTTCATCATTGAAATTTATTTTTATTTTTATTTTTAAAATTTTCTTCCATTTGGGTCAATTTGGAAAATTTTTTTTAATTTCTAAATTTTTCACCATTTGAACCTATTTAGAAAATTTTTCCTTTTTTTATTTCTAAATTTTTCACTATTTGGGTCAATTTAGAAAATTTTTTTCTTTTCTTTTTTTTTTATCTTTGGAAAGAAAATAATACAAAAATTACTTTGATTGAAATTTCATTTAAATTTTTCTACAATTTGGGATAAATTTAAAGAAATTCCTCACCTAGAGATTTTTTAAGAAATTTATAGTTTAAAATTTCTAAGAATCTCATCCTTAGATAATTGTCAAATATTTTCAACCAAAATTTTTATTTTTTCATTTTTTCGATTGAAAGTAAATAGTAATTATTATTATTATTATTGAAATTTTATCTAAATTATTTCATTATTTGGGACAAATTTAGAAAAAAAATTTCTCACCTAGAAATTTTATAAAAGTTTATCCTTTGAAATTTTTAAAAATTTCATCATTGGATAATTAATAGTTATTCTCAAAAAATATTTTTATTTTTTCCTAAAATTTATTCATACAAAATAATAAATAAAACAACCTATAAATATAACTAAATAAATAAATAAAATACCAAAAAATAAATCGGCTTGGCTTCGCAGCTAAATCGGCTCTGTTGCAGACAGAAAAGGCCACTCTAGTCATGACTCGACTTGACTGGAGTTAAAAGCTAGAGGCATGTCAAACGTAGGTCAAAAGCGGATCAAAGCTATAGGTTAGGTTGCCCAAATAAAAACGCATGAATCTTGAGTCTTTTTAAATGCCAAAACGACATTGTTTTGTGAGTGATATAAAAGCCTAAGTCCAGTATTTTTCTTCAGATTCTCCTTTTTCCCCTTTCTCTCTTCTTCCCTTTTCTCTCATTCTCTCTCTACAACCTGAAGAACTTCAGTTGAATTTCATCAGATTTTGAAAAAAGTCATCAGAATTTAGGTTGATTCATCAAACGTTCACCAAAAAATTCAACCTTCACTAGAATCTTCAATAGGATTTTGGGAAGCTTGTCGAAAAATTTAATTGATGTTGAAAAATTCATCAAAAAATTCAATCGATGCTAGAAAATTCACCAAAATCGAAAAAATTTTGCTAGAATCTAGAATTTTCTAAATTTTTCCAAAAAAAAAAAAAAACTTCATTTTTTTCCAAAAATTTCTCTAAAAATTTCTAACTGTTTCGTGACTGCTTTTTCTTCACTCTGATCTTTGTATTCTGCTTCATGTGTTTGTTGCTTGCCATAGCCATATATTTATAAGGTTTCAAATATGAGAACCCTAAACTAGAAAGGAATTTGAATTCCTTTTAAGTACAAACTTTAATTCTTAAATTGATAACCATAAAGAAACAAACTTAAACAAATTAAACCACCCTAAAATTTTCTTAATTTTTTGTTTTTTATTTTTTTATTAACAAAATCTAAACTTAGTAGACCCCCAGACAAATTGGGGTGTCTACAAGTATACAACTAACCCAAAATTAATATTCTCTTCCTTTTAAAAGTTAAAATTTAAAGGCAACAATGTTCATAATGCTTCCAAATAATGTTCCAAAAGTAGCTAACTAGACAAGTAAATACAAATATTCTCTTTCAAGTTATTGATAAAAATTGTTGATTAGTTATTCCTTTCTTCCAACAATCAAGGCTTAAAGTAATTGTTATCTTTCTTTTTTTAATGAAAAAATAAAGTTCAAAGTTAGAATTTTGTATTGCTAATAGGCTTATTCAATCATACCAAATAAGGCTTAAATTATACTCCTTCCATTTTTAATTGTTTGGAAAATATTAACTTTTATGAAGTTTAAAAAAAAAAACTTTACTTAATGTATTTAATATTAATATTAATTTTTTTATAAAATTAAAGTTTTATGATTTTTAATGTCAAAAAATAAAAAAATAAATTTAAAATATAAAAAATAAGAGTTTTAAATGTTATAAAAAAGGACAATTTTGAAATATAAAAAAATAGGCAAAAATAATGAGTACAGGAAATGTCTTCTAATATTTTTTTTTCCAAGTTGAAGTTATGAATCTCATCTCCCTACGTTATGTTTAGATAAATATTAATAAAGGAAAGGAAAGGAAAGGAAAGGAAAAGAGAGGAAAAGAAAGGATATATATATCCATTGTTTGGATAATTAAAATTAATAAAGGAAAAGAAAGAAAATGAATTCTAACAACCATTATTTGGATAAAGAGTGAAAAAGAAAGAAATGATTCATTATAATAATTTTTTTCAATTATAACATTTCATTACTTGTAATTTTATAGAGTACTTCTGGATCATAATATGTTTGCTATCTTATCTAGCTTCATAATTGCTACTATATTAGTGGTTTTTAATCAAGTGAAACAAAAAGATATTTTACAAACATGCATTGATGGATTTGTTAGCCATTATCAAAGTTTCAACACATTATCACTTTGACATCTCATAAACCTAAAAAATATATCTATTCATATTCAATCATTCATCAAGATCAAATCACCAAAAAATTATAAAAAAATTTTATATTGGAAGAGACAGTGAAACTTACTTGAAAGAAGAAATGATTTTAAAAAATTTACAGAAAGATTGTGATGTGGTTAGGTTTTTTTTTTTTACTAGGCTGTTGGTATTAATAAAAAGTTAGATATAGTAGTCTTTTTATAAAAATAAAAATTTTTTAGCTTTCCTTTCCTCAGTTTTTCTCCCAAATTGGGGTATTAAAAAAGTAAAGACTATAGGGGAAACCAAGGGTTATTGAGTTTCCACTTTTAAATTAAAAGTTTATCCAAACAAAGAAAATGTTTTTCCATTTCCGTTACTTTCTTTTATTTTCCTTTCCTTCCCCTCATTCCAAACGTACTACTAAGGATTTCTTTAATTTTATGTACCAAAAAATAATAATAAAAAGGTAAACAAAAGACAATTCCTTTCTTCCAAACCCTTAACAAGTCATGCTTAAATATTCCTTCATTCTTTCCTCCCATATGCTCCCAATCAACAAGCAATTACATAAATTTCTTTTTCTTGTTTTTTTTAAAATATTATTCAAGTTTTTTTTAAAGCACTAGCTATGAGTAATTTCCATGTACATGTGGGCAGATTGTATATTAGATATTACTTAAAAAGTTAAATGTAATATTTATGTTTCGATATTAAAACTAACAAAATCTTCTCTTTTTTAAGTGTATAAATGCTTCCAAATTCCATATAAACTTTCCATAGAGACTCTTTGAAATTTGGTTTTATATTCTTCAACTCTTTCAACCCTCACAAATCACAATACTCTTGTCCATCTGCTCTCTGTCTCTCTTACTCTCTTTGCATCTTCTTATCTTTCCTTTCTGTGTTTGTTTGAGAATTGAGATCATGGACGTCAAACCTTTCCTTCATGAACACTACTTGCTCTTTGATGAATACATGGATCAAGAGGCATGTTGTGATCATTGCAATCAGCAAATTGCTGGTTGGGCCTTTACTTGTGAAACCTGCAAGTTTTGGCTACACGAATCATGTGCTAAACAACAATTGCCTTCTACGATTTCACATCCTCTCCATTCTCAGCACCTTCTCACTCCGCTCTTTATTGATTGTTTTAATCATGACTATTTAAATATTTGTGATAAATGTTTCAGTCTTACTCGAGGCTGCATGTACGGATGCAAGGATTGTAATTTCAACCTTGATCTCATATGTGCTTCTTCAACTACTAATGATGAGACCCCACATGAAGAGTGGGAAAGATCTTATCATAGACATAAAACCATTCAGCATTTCGGCCACAGAGATGAATTGAACCTCTTCAACTATAGGAAAGTAGGAAAGGATGAGTATAGTTGTAAATGGTGTGAGAAACTTCTGTCAGGAATGTCCTATGGTTGTCTCAGTAGTTATTGTACTCCTGAAGAGGTCTTCTTTCATGAATCCTGTTTGATTAGTATGCCCACTAAAATCTCAAAACATCACTTTCATCTGTCACACCCTCTTTACTTACAACTCTTGTCCTTCAGGTATCTCATTTGCAATGCTTGTGGAGATAATTTCAAATATAGAGAGAACAAAGGATATAGTTGTACAAAGTGCAAATTCCACCTTCATGTTACATGTGCTATATTCCAACCCAGTCTAAAACATGAGTTGCATGAGCATCATCTTACTTATTTTCAAATAAAACACTACTTTGGTTCTCTCCAATGTAGGAAGTGTATGGAGATGATTAGACTAAATGAGAGTGAGAGTGCTTTTTATCGTTGCGTGGAATGTGATTTCAATCTCCATCTCCGTTGTGCATCATTATCATTTACGACTAAACATGAGTATCATAGACATGAACTTACGCTTGTTCATTCATTTATAGAAGATGGATCGAATGAATATTATTGTGATATTTGTGAGAAAGAAAGAAAACCAAAACACCATGTCTATTGTTGTCAAAAATGCAAATTTGTTGCTCATATCGGATGTGCACTCCATAAGGTAAGTTAGTAAAATAAAGCTTAATTAATTAGCCTCTTTCAACATTTCTTTCAAAAAAAAAAAATTTCTTCCGATTAGAATCTTAACATTACTTTTTTTTTTTATGCTAATATTTCCAATTCCCCAGTCTATAGATACCAAATTTGAGCATGGGTCAACATCTAGCTTTGTGGATAGCGAAGCTTCTATGGGGAAAGTGACAGAGCAAGAGGGAACAGAGGTAAGAAATGAAGACTTCCCTACTCATCTCAAGGTAGTTGGGTAGGTGAAATAATTGGTAATATTAGAGGGTATATTTATAGAATGATATTAACATATATTATGTAGTTAAACTAATTTAATTTTTATTTAATGAAAAGTGTTACATAAAGAACCTTTTGTGTTTTTTTATAAGCTTATTTGTCTTATTTTTCAATAACAAAAATGAATATGCCTTACAGTCCCATTTCAATTATCTAATTTCCATCTTTTAGATCTCAACACAAAAAAAAAAATAATAATAATAATAAAATTTTACAGATGGAAGTTTTGGACCTGTTCATAGACTTGTTATAAATGTAGGTAAAATCTAATTTTTCTTTATTATTTATTTTACGTTATTTTTGGTGCTTATATTTTTATTTTTACTCTTTTTTTTTTTTGGATGTACAAGAACTTTTCATCTAAATATAATAATTACCAGCTATAAGAAAAATATAAGCAATAAATTGTTTAGGTCCCGTTGTCCATACTATCTAATACTTCCTTTGTTTCATTTTCTTTGTTTATATTTTTTTAGGATGTCCTAAAATTATATTTTCTTTTTTTTTAACATTTAAAACTTTTACTTTTTATATTTTAAAATGATTTTTTATAATTTTTTAATTTTTTTACATTAAAAATCATAGAACTTTAATTTTATAAAAAATTAAAGTCAAAACTTTTTTTAAAACTTCATAAAAGTTAATGGTACCCAAAATAATTTGAGACAAAAAGAGTATATATTACATAATATTACCAATATTTGAATTGCTTTCAATGGAGCCTAATTTAATTGAAAAATTAAAAGTTTGAATAAAATAATGGCACAACGTTTTAAATATTCAACAAATTGATCATTTTTAATGCACACAATTAAATTCTATTTTTATTTTAAATTATCACCCTCTTTTTTTATTTTCTTTTAGCATAAGAGAAAAAGAGGGTAATTAAAAACGAGCACTAATTAGTAATTACGCCTTTGTAATTAAGTTTGCTCATCCAATTTCTTTTTTCACCTTTGAAATGCAGATTGACTATTTTGATCATCAACATCCCCTAAGCTTTTATGAGGTTATTAGAAAAAATGAAAGTCTTCTCTGCCATGCTTGTCGACTGGAAATCTCTGATCAAGCCTATGTTTGTAAATATGGATGCCCATACTACGTACACAAAGCATGCACCAAATTGTCCTTTGTGCTGCTACACCCTCTTCATCCCCAACATTCTCTCAAACTCATTCCCTATTGCTTTCAGTTTACATGTGATGAATGCAGAGAGTGCATTGATGGGTTTGGTTACATGTGCTATGCCTGTGATTTCAAACTTGATGTGAAATGTGCTACTTTATCAGTGTCTAAAAATGAGAGCCAAAGGCCAAAAGAGATAGAGAGACGATCCAAGTTGTGCCCTTTCAACCAACACCATAGGCTAAACTTCTCTAATTTTGGGTCCGGTCTATGGTACTATCACGACTGCCATTTTTGTGGACAAGGAATCCTGGGACCATCCTATGGATGCTTTAATTGTGGATATGACCTTCATGAATCCTGCCTTGGATTTCCTCTGGAGATGCAACTCCATTTTCATCCGGTACACAACCTTCGCCTAATTTGCTTCCTAGAAAAAAGTTGTCTTGTCTGCAAATATGCATTCTATAAGAAGATCAGGTATAGTTGTTTGCAATGTGATCTCCACCTTCATCCTTATTGTGCTAAATCCCTGAAGCGGATGGTAAAATCTAAGTCTCACGTGCATAATCTTTATTATTTTGGACCAACTGCTAGGAGTAACTTCTATGATGAGGGAAAAACATGTGATGAATGTAAAGAAAGGTTTTCTTATGCTCCTTTCTATTTTTGTATGGAGTGTGGTATCAAGTTGCATATCAAATGTGCTGTACCACATTCAGTTAAATCCAAGTATCACATCCACCCCTTCACTCTTAAGGATCAATCAATGGAAGAAGATTTGGGAGAATATTACTGCGACATTTGTGAAGAAGAAAGGGATCCACAACATCATTCATATTACTGTGCAGAGTGTGAAGGGCTATTTCTTGCTCATATAGATTGCGTGCTTAATTCAGTAAGTTCACCCACTATATATAATCTTCAATTCAGAACTTAATTGCCTTTATGTTATTGGATCATTTGAAGGAAAATAAGCATAGAAATCTGCACAAACACATCACCACAATATATAATTACACATATGCACCATATTTCATGTTTATTGGAGAATTTATAAATTAATCTCATATGCTTCTTTTAGTTTATGTTTTCTATTGGCCATAAAAAATGAAATTTTATGTCTCCGGTTAATCTTATGGACCAAACATACAAATACTTTCCCTCTATTGATGAAAGAATAACAAAAGTATAAAATTAATGAAGTCTGACAGCAAAATCAATGTCTTAAATCAGGTTGAAGAAAATGCAGAAGCAGAAGAGCCATCCACAAATCTGGCATCAGACTTCGAGCATACCTAAATACAGGCTAGCTGAGAAGAGAATGTACGGATGAATCAACGGGAGGAGCAAAGCAATGGTGAAAATTCAGCAATGGAGGAATCAACAGAAGAGCCAACATGGTGATGAAGAAAATTAGTTCTGCCCTTACTTTGCTCGATGAAGCATAATTCCATCAACAAAACTGTTATCACTTGAAGGAAGGAAAGGACTGCATTGTATATATTTTTCAAATTACTGCAACTATATATGTTAGTATCTTGCATTCATTCTCCTATAATTTAGATGATTTCAGCATTCAGCTGAAATTTTCTTTCACTACTTAGTTTGTATTGTCATAACATGTAATACCTAATTGCTTTATCGGGTGAAAGAAACTGTGTTAGTAATAGAAACACCCTTAAATTTGAGATTGGACCCCGAGGATATGCTAATAGAGGAAAAGCAGAGAAAAAAAAATCAACGGGGAAATTGATCCTACCCCTGTTGGACTGGGTAGCTCATACTAAGTCTCTAGGGAATAGGGAGAAAATATTAGTGCTATTAATCTGTAAACAGAATTTTGGTGCTACATATCGTTTCATTATTATGGCCCCCATGAACACGTTGCTTTAAGTTCATCAGCACTCGGGACCTAGTTCTTCCCTTAGTCTATTGATTCTTTGCCATTGTGCCATGACGATTGAAAATAAAAATAACATTGCATTTCTTGTAAATGGCTTAATATGTAATCATACAATTGAATCAAATCTCCAAATCTATCTTAGACAAGAGATTTCATGAACCATAACTTTCCTAATCAACAATGACCAGTCGAGGTTTCGAGAGGTGGGTCTGTTTCTCAAAGTAGCTGACTATATATTGCCAATTTTTATGAAAAACGAAACAATTCATAGAAGCTTAAATCTAACCTATCCATAAGTTCTTTTGGCTATTGATTAGAAACCATTACAAGAAATAAACAGAAACAAATTATAAAAAGCGAAGTTAGAAGAATATCACTTCTGAGTTCATAGATTTAAGTAAATTGAGAATTGAGTTTAAATTTCCTTATTAGACTATAAAAGTTTCAAATATCCTCATTGGTTAGATTTTTTTAGTATATATATTTGTCTGAAATACTTTCTTGTTTTTATATATTTTTTATTAGAATATTATAAACTACGTTTTGTTTAAATCTAAATTCCCCAAAATTCCAATCTCCTCTTAACTTCTTTGGCAAGAAGCAAAAATGTGATTAAAAATATCAAATTCAAAATTTAATTTAATTGATTTATTAAATTATATTTAACAGAAGATATTTAATAAATTTAAAATTAAAATATAAAAACATGTAATTTTTAATCTTAAATTATGATTTTATTTTAAAAAAAAAAAGCAAGTTGACCAAAATCCAGATAATATAAAATAAACTAACAAGAGAGAAATTTCAAGTCGACTTGAAAAACAAAAGAGTATCCCATAAACAAAAAAACTACCACTAATTTATGGGCCCGTATTCAATCTTTTTTATTGTTTTTGAATTATTTTATTTTATTTTTTGTTTAGCAGCCTTTCATAATCCCTCGCACCAGCAAACCAAACAAAAATGAGAAATTATACTTTCACCCTTGGTTTTATCATTTTACAAATAAACCCTAAGTAAGATAAGATTTCATTTCCTTTTTATAAAGATTACAATGCAATTTCTCCTTTAAAATACTAAAAAATAGTTTAATTTTTATATTTAAAAAAATCACTTTTATACTTAAACTTGTTTATTTGACGTTTAAAATTAAGATTGTAATATAATGAAATTTCATGTTTGAATTGTCAATACAATTATAGGATATTAAATGTAAAAAAAAAAAAAAAAAGAAATCTATGCTGCGGAAATATGATTTTCCCTAAAAAATACAAGAAAACACAAGTACGTTTGCTAGTTGTAATAAAATTCGTGTCTTTGTTGAAACCGAGAAGCAAAAAAAAAAAAAAAAAGCCAGGACGAGTGTTGATCAAAAAAGAATATTTCATTCCTGTGCTGCTCCCTTCATCTGTTTTGGTACTCTGGTTTTTTTTGGGCTCCAAAAACATCAGCTTCTCTGTTCTATCCAATCACCAATTTTCAGGGATTCATTCATTCTTGATTTCAACACCATTCCAAGTAAGATTATTTGATACCCTTTTTGGATATTTTTCATTTTCTGAGAAAAAAAAGTTTTACTTATATAATATGTGGACCGTAATTTAGATTAACCTTTGGTACCCAATTCTCAGAAAAGCTTCTTTTGTTGAATTTTGTTTTTTCTAGTTAGTTGTGGTAAGTTATGAAATGGGTCGTTTCTGATTTTTATTATTAATAGGCTGATTGTTTTTTTTATTGGTTGTGTTCTTGGATTGGTCTGCCGAAAAGGAGCAAAGCAGTGGCAAAAATTCAGCAATGGAGGAATCAATAGGAGAGCTAACAGGGTGATGAAGAAAATTATAGTTCTGCCATTTGTTAGATGAAGCATAATCCCACCAAGGAAACTGTCATAACTTAAAGGAAAGTGCATTGTATATATTTTTCAAATTTCTGCAACTATATCACCATTTTGCATTCCCCTATATTTTAGACAAGAGATGTCACTCATGATCAGATGATCATATCCCACATAGCTAAGATCAGATGATCAGTTGAGGTTTCCAAAGGTGGATCTATTACTAATGGAGCTTGAAATTGAACAACCATTACAAGAAATAAACAGAAACAAATAAAGAGAGAAGTTAGAAGAAGATTACAGGGTTTTGGAAGCTTAATATCAAGGTCACTCTCACTCCTGACTTTCCTCTGTGCAGAGAGAGATGCCCTCTTAGCCACTGTTGCCATGGCATCCTTTGATAACTCCCTTCCCAAGTCTTTTGCAAAGAGAAAGTTCTGTATTTTCACAAGAAAAAACACAATTGGTTTTTGTATTCATTGCATGAAGTTACTCGCTAGACCTAGACATCAACACGGACGGGCGTGAATTTTACGAGGAAAATTTGCATGTCTTGGCAAGCTTTCCTTTGCAAAAATATAAAATTATTATTATTATTATTGTTATTATAAAACCATTGAAACTTACTTTCATTTCAATTTATAAAAATAATTGATTAATTATTAAAATCAAATATTTAAGTGTTATGATTCTAATTTTCGAACACTTACCATGCAACAATGAATAAAATTAACGTGGTAAATCATTATGAGTCTTTTTTTTTTTAATTTTCATTCGATATAAATAAAATTTTTAATTCCTAAATAAGACTTATATCAAAATTTCAACCTATTTAAAATCAAAATTTACTTTTTTTAATATAAATAAGATTAAATTTTTAATTTCAATTATCAAAATTTAAATTCTAAAAATTTTAAATATATAAAAAAAATTATATTTAAAAAATATATAGTGTATAATGTGTGTGTATATATATATATATATATATATATATATATATATATATATATAAACAACTCTAGATTTTGTTTCTCATCAAATGACTTGTGATTTTTATCAACTTATCAAGGTTATTAACTTTATTATCATCATTATTTTAATTTCACAATTACATAATACATAAAATTTTGAAAATTTTATTACAACTTGGAAAGTATTATGATGTAATTAATTTCAGCTTCAAAATTTTGTTCACACTTGGAAACCAAACCAAGGTGGAACACCATCTAAACAATAAATTTTATTAATATGCCATGTACAGTATTTTCCTTTGAACATGTCACATGGCACTTTCTCCTTTTTTTTTTCTTTTTTTTAAATGGGTTTTTTTTGTTTATTTAAATTTTAAAAATTTTTACTAGATTTAAAAAAATAATTTACTTATTTTTTAATTTTATAAAAAATTTTTAAGATGGACCTACTTTATCAAGTTTTTTTTTTCTTTTTTTATTCATCCATTAAATAAATTTTGTTTTGTATGGAATTTAACCCCGGTGCCAGTGCGCATCCCCAATTTTTTTTTATTTAATTTTTAAACTCTTTTATAAACATTTTATTTTGTTTTTATTTTTTTCAAGAATTTTTTATATTTAATATATATTTTTCATTTAATTTTTTTTAAAGTTGGGATACACTTTACACTGAGCTTCTTTTTTTTTTTTCCTTTTTTTTTAATTTCTTCATTTTAGACTTTTTTATAAATATATTTTTTAAAGATTTTAAGTTCCTTTTTGTATGGAACACACTTGATATCAAAAGTATGCCACATTTTTTTTATTTTTTTAAATTTAATAAATATATAAAGATTTTAAATTTTTTTATGGGATCCACTTGATGCAAGGCTATGTCAAGCCAAGTCATTTGCATCTTTTTCCTTCTTTTTTTTCTTTTATCTATTTTAATATTTAATAAATATTTTAAATATTTTTTAAAATTTTAAAGCGAGGTCCATTTGATATTACTAGTTAAATTTTTTATTTTAAAAAAAATATTATAGAGGTGTCTTTGTCACATAGAGATTTCATTTTTCATTTTTTTTTATCTTTATTTTTTTTTAAATTCATGATATAAATATATGCTTTATTTTTCATTCAATTTTAATTTTGTATATATATATATATATGTACTATATAATAAGATAATTATTTATTACCATAATTTAATAAATCCACTTACTATTTTCATTTGGCTTCCTTTTCTGTTTTTTCATCATTTCTTTGTTTATACTTTAAATTGTGCATACATATGAAGATTCTACAAGGTGACAAATGCCATTTCAATACATTTTTCTTTTTTTTTTCAATATTTAATTTTTTTTTTATTTTTTAGCTTTTTATATATGGGACTCATTTGATATTATTGATTAAAAATATAAATTTTTTCACTCTTTTTTATTTTTATGTATTAAGTCTATATTCGATTGGTTTCAATTTCTCTAGATCCAACAAGTGAATTTTTTAATTTAAGATCAGATTGAGATTTTCTTTCAAAAATTAATGTCAAGTTGAATGCGAGTTTATGGTGTTTTACCCCTTCGAATATATATAAATATATATGTTATTA